GTTACTTGTAAAAATCGTAGGATTGCATGAGTTTGGCAACCTACTGTAAATAGTCATCGCTAAGTAGTCAGTAAGTTCATAGTAGCATGCACTCATCTGAAGCGCCGTAGTTAAGGACTATGTTCTGCCGTTAAAATCTGCGCTCGGATTTCTTTTTACCTCGCTAAGCGCTATCCGACCTAAACTAAATTTAATTTGCTACAGGTGCACAGTGTGGGAGAGATTCCTTGATCTTTGTCACCGTGGATGATGTTATTAATATCCGATATCGGTCCTGTGATGTTATTTCTACTACTGTTTTCTAAAACTTCATGCCTCCGTCTTCTACAGTGAGTACTTCTGAAACGTAAGCCTTGCTGACCAGGACTTTAGGAGGCCCAAGACGAGTTGAAGTTGAAGCTGCCTAGTTTCGTCAATACGCATTCCTCTCCACGTATAGCACTATTAAAAACCAATTGCACTCAAATATATGATAACTGCGAACCGACTTGAAATAAGTTTTAGAAACAGGTAGTTGATTGTGAAAGACAAACAGAAACTTAGATAAGTACAGCAAACAAGACTTTGGAGTATTCCCACTATATTTTTTTGAATAACAGTGATTTACAACACTCAAATAAAACGGCCCTAGGGATGCCTCGGTCTCAGTCTGCCTCATCCTCACCAATCCAGAAAGATGTATCATAGATTCGTGGACTTATAGCTGAGTCTAAAATTGTTTCCTTTTTGTTTTCTTTTCACAGGGCATATTTATGGATGGTGGCGGGGCTAAACAGAGACGTACGCAAGACCCTCCAATCCATCACGATCTCAGTGTCTCCCTCGAAGACGTGCTCTACGGCACCACAAAGAAAATCCGTGTTACTCGCAGACGCCTTAACCCCGATGGTCGGACCACACGCGAGGAGGAGAAGGTTTTGGAGATTGAAGTGCGTAAAGGCTGGAAGGCCGGCACCCGAATCACCTTTCCCCGGGAGGGCGACGAAAAACCTAACAATATCCC